TATATTGAAGAATAGATTCAAAGCGACGGCGGCGGCGGACAGCGGAGACGGAGAGGTTTATTAACTGTATGGTCTTTGGCTGACGTGCTGCCAAAAAAAAACCCCGACTCCATCTCCGAATCGAACGCTGTGTGTGTTTGTGTTATTAAATTATTACGGCGTTATCAAATAACTTCTGCTCTCCCGACTCAATCAAACGGCGCTAAAATGTGTCCGGGTTATAGCGGGCGTACGTACCGACGATCAGCGAAATAATAATAATAATAATAATAAACTCGCCTCTTCGTCTTCCTCTTCCCCTCCGGTGAACTTTTAAAAGCCGTGATGTAATCAATGCCATCCGAAGGGAGCTAGCTTCTCCGCTAACTCTTGCCAACTGCTTAATGTGACACCGAATGATATAAGCACGCCGCCGCTGCGCCGCTAGCGCCTTCCCATTGGGTCTGTTTTGAGCGGGAAAACACGAAGAGCAGCGGTTCGGGCGCCGTTTTGACAGACGCTGGTAGCGAGACCAACAGGTGAGGAGGACAACGGATCATTTGTAACAGCGCTGCGGTTCCTTTGTGAGCGGCGGCTTTGCTTTCCTCTCCTGCGCTTTACTTTGGCTGCTGTGCTGCGCTCTCTTCTCTCCGGCGTCTGCAAATGCAAATTGAAGCAACGGCTTTGTCAGAGCGACCATATTTTCTCGGCGTGACGGATCGACGACTCTTGCGCCCCTCCCCCCCCCCCCCCCCCCCCCGGTGTTGTATTGCAATTTGTCTCCACACAAACACAAACACAAACAGCCAACTGAACAGTTTCACAGCAGGAACACCAGACATCATGTTCTGGTGTCGGATTATACAGACGTCGTCGACTTCCTCTCTCCCTCGAGACCCACCGCCGCCGCCGCCGCCGCCGCCGCCGCCGCCGCCGCCGCCGCCGCCGTTATGCTCCTTTTGTTTCTTCTTCAAACCTCTTTTTTGGGGGGGGTGGATCGACAGAACTGAACGACCCGATTCACGCGTCTGTTGTTGGCCTGCGTCTCTCTCCTTATTACTTTAAATACCCGACCCCTGCGTGACACCCAGGGAGGAACGCTTCACACGGATGTGAGAGGAGATGAGGAGAGAGGAGACGAGGAGACGAGGAGAGACTTCAGAAACCAGAGCAGAGGAGGAGGAGGAGGAGGAGAGCGAAAAAGAACAAGTGGATTAAACGTATAAAGTTATAACAACGTCGCACGCCAGCGCAACACCCTCCAAATTGTTAAATGGAGGGACATCAGGAGGAAATTCAATATATATGCTTCCAACGTAAAATTGGGTTTTAATCCCATTTACGCAAGAAGGATATTTTACCCGACCAAACCGCGGTGGAAACCGCTCCCAGAGGGGTTGAGATGTACATGAAATGCATCAAGACGTTTTACCTTGTTATCCCGCCGCTCGCGTTTCTCCTCCACTCACCAAAGTACGGCCAACAAAGTGCAGAATAAGAGTACCTTACGCACCGCTGGCATCTGCTGTCTGTAGCTGGCGGTCTCCAGGAGAACATCGTGATATTGTCTTGTATTGTATTTCAACGGCCTCAAAATCAACACTTTTATTGTCCCACAGCAATGCTGCTTCTTCTTCTTCATCTTTATCTCAGCCTTGGCGGGGATTTCTTACTTAACTAGGAGGAGGAGATCCTGGATGGTAATCCTATAGCACCGCACGTCTTTTAGGGGGTTTGGTGAATGCAGAATTCGATTTATCTGTCCATCCATCCATCCATCCACCAATCGTCCATCCACGTCTATATATGCCATTTGGTGGCAAACATTTTTAGCATGGATGGTCCCAGTGGGAATCGAACCCCGAACTCAACTGGCAAAGTTAATGCCCTGCTCTACCAGAGGAGCGAGTCAGGACCATGTATCGTTTAAAAACTCTCGTAAAAACGTACTTCTTCTCTTGAATCGGTTAGTCTTCTGTTTTTATTTGACTTTATCGTGTTTTAGTTTAAGTCATCCCTCGCTTGTATTACTGTGTTATATCAATTCTACTTTTATTTTTTATCTGGTGGTTTGTCTTGTTTTTTATGTCTTTGTAAAACACATTTTATCACTTGTTTTTGAAAAGTGCAATATAACTACCTAACTAACTAACTAAATACATTAAATAAATAAATAAATACATAAATAAATATCTATACAACCATCCATCTATACCTCCACCATAAGTTCATATTGTGTAGATATCATCCTCCCCTCCTCTCCATCATTGCACCGGGATGAGTTACTCCAGCGACGTTGCCATGGTGACCTTTACCGGCGGCGGGGGAAGGGGGGGAAGGGGGGGGGGGGGGGCGTGACCTTCCTGCCTGCCACCAGGCGTCCCGCCCTGCGGGGTCGATCGAAACATCCATCACGCCTGTCATAATCCAACTCCCCCTCTGACCTCACACTGGTGCATTCTGGGAACTGGAGTCTGTGAGCGTGGGATATACAGTACATACGATACTGGGAGTGCTGCGGTGGCCCACAATAGGGAATTGAACCGCTAACCCTGCGGTGTTACGGTGTCAGTGCCTTGCTCTACCAGCTGAGCCACACAGGACCAAGAAGTCACTTCTCAGTTTAGTCTTTGTTTTTATGCAGCGTATTTGAACCTAACAGCAATTAGTCCGTTGCTTTAGTTTTATAATACACTAATAATACACAGAGTTACTACACACACACACACACACACAGACTTCATCGTATTACCTTCCCAGGCCCGGTCCGAGGCGAGCCCAGGTCGGTTCTCCGCCTCTGGTATGCGTTGCTAAACAATGCATGTGTACCCCAAACATCCCCCCCCCCCCCCCCCCCCCCCCCAATCAGGACCATGTGGCTGTGGTTAGCCGCCGCCGCGGCGCGGAGGAGGAGCGCCGCTAACCAGCGGCCTAACGAGCGGCCGCACCGGCCCGCTGCGCGCCGGGAAGCTCGCTGGGTTTGTTTCCACATCCCAAAAATTAAGACCATCCAGCGCAAGATGCAATCAATATGTTGGAGATCGCCGCTTTGTAGTGTAAGCTGCCATCTCGGCTGCAATTACAAGCGGCTGATTAGGGGCCTAATTGGACATAACTGAGTAATTGGGAGCTCAACCGCCAGAGGTTTCGGCGGCTTGAGAAACATCCGACCGAACGGAGAGGAGTTAGTTTCGCTCCTTCTTCTTCCTGCCAGACTTCCTCCTCCTCCTCCTCCTCCTCCTCCTCCTCCTCCTCCTCCTCCTCCCTCGCTTCGCGGCGCTGCAGTGGGACTGTCATGGCTGCGTCCACACAAATACGTTTTTCGAAAAACGCGCCGCTAAGGCTGAGAGGAAAAAGGGCCGAATTGCCGTCTTAATGGTCATCTTGAGTTTTTATTTGAGTTTGAGTTTTGCGAAGGAACCGCCTCGCTCTGCAGTTGGGTTGGACTTCATCCGTTCGGTTATTTATCGATTGAGAAATCAGAAGATTTACAATTTCGTCATTGTTTAGACGCTCCTAAAATGCGAAGTGACTTTTGAACTGAGGCTGATAAAAATCGAAGGATATAAGATATAAGATAATTATTAATCTTCGACGGGAAATTGAGGCATTAAGGAATTAGGAATAAGATATGTTGTTGGGATATGTCTTTCAGTTAGTATAGTAAGTATAGTTTACTGTGATGTGAGAGAGAGAGAGAGAGAGAGAGGGAGAGGGAGAGAGAGGGAGAGAGGGAGAGAGGGGGGGGAGAGAGAGCTTCAGGGCTTGTGAAGACAACTTTCGGGGCTCTCCGGATCAGGTGTCCGCTGCGGCCCGGTAGTCACGGCGACCGCCCAGCGCGACGGCCAACATCTGTTCCCGGGGAAACAGCTGAGCGCCGAGACGCGGGGAGCCCCCCCCAACCCCCCCCCCCCCGGAGCGGGTTTTAAACGCCCTCGCCATCCATCATCCCTCCGTCGACGGCCCTCGATCATTACCCGTCATAATAAAACCTTTCCGGAGACTTCTCCTCTTCCTCCTCCTCCTCCTCCTCCTCCTGGTGCCCCCCCCCCCCTGGAGCCAGGGGGCTGTCTGAGTGTCTGAGTGTCTGCCCGTCTCCGTCTCGTGTCTCGCACAATAAAAAGCTGACAAGCTGACAAACGGTTGCGATTTTTTTGGGGAAGGGATATTGGCATGGCGCGTCGCCGCGGTGATGTGAAGACGGGAGGATCCACGCGTTAAAGTGGCGGCGGCGGCGGCGGAGCGACCCGCTGGGGATCGAGTGGACGCTCTGCTGCTGACAGCCTCATGAATGCGGCGCACTGTGTTTGTGTTTGTGTTTGTGTTTAATGCGCTAGGAGTCAATTCACGCCATCGGGTGAGGAACCTGACGGCGTCTCCAGGGGTGCGGATGATGTCATGGTCCGGGTCCTGAGGGGGTTTCGATCCCCACTTCGGTGTCACTGGAAGTCGCCTTCGGTTTTAAAAGTTTTTCGCTGTTTCCCAAGTCCTCAAGTGCGAGTCCTGATGGCTTTGGTTCAGGGTTTGAGTATGTCTCCATCTGTAGACATCCTTGAGCAACAAGATGTCCTCCTGACCCCTCCGCCTGCTCCTTAACGCCGCGCAGCGTCTGAATTCAACGCAGCGGTCGGATAAAAGCGTCTGCTGAAATTATACGAATGAATGAAGAAGAGACGATTGATCCAGCAAAGTCATGTTGAGAAAGGGAACAGCCCCGCTCTACCTTGAGCGAAGAACAAGGACCAGGGTGTGTGTGTGTGTGTGTGTGTGTGTTGTATAATCCCAAAAGAGATTTATTCAAAATACTGAGTTTTGTTCAATCGCCCCCATAAGTCCTAAAGGTTAAGCCGACATACAGCATGAGTCCTTGGGGGGTATGAAGTGACACCATGGCGGCCACATGGGGCTCCAACATCTCCACCAGCTCTCCCCCCAACGCTCCTCTCCATGGAGAGGCGGAGGAGGACCAGGACCAGGACCAGGACCAGGAGCGAGGTTTTGTTCTGAACCGCTGAACAGGGGAACGGGGGTTAAGGGGAAAGGAAAGGGCGAGCATTCCTCCTCTGGGATCCCTCAAGTAATCTCCTTTTTCCAGATGAAAGACCACTCACTCGCACCGGACCATCTCCCCCCCTCCCCCCCCTTTCTCCCTCCTTCTCCCTCCTCTTCTCCTTCTCCTTCTTCTTCAGAGGAGGAGATCCGAGAGTCGGAGGCTTACCAGGAGATTACGCCGGCTTTGGCTCTGATCTCCCACACTTCCTCACGGCCCTCATCAACCTCTGGCCGGGCGCTCAACTTCTCCCCAATTCAGGAGGAGCTGAGGGTATTAGAGCGGCCATAGCTCTCTCCTGGCAGGGGGTGGCTGGTGGGTCAGTGGTGGGGGGGGGGGGGGGGGGGAGAGGGGGGGGAGAGGGGGGGGGGTCTCAAAACAGCCTTCAATTCGCACAAATGTCCACTATGAGGCCTTGGAAGGTGAGGCAGAGGTCTTTGTCCGATGGTTTTGCATCCGTGATTTCGTTTTGATGGTGTTTTTTGCGGCGCCTATCATGTGGCGGCGGTGTCTTTGTGTGGCGTCCGCCAAAATTAAAGGGCGCCGCCACGGTCGGCCAGGGGAAGTTTCTGGTCAGAAATACGCGAGTACTTACAGAACTTTTTACGGATCGGTCCATTATCGGCCGGTATTGGATTGCAGTTTAAGAGGTGTGTTTTGAGAAAAGGTCTTTAAAAAAAAGGTCTCGGATTTAACTTGTTGAAACCGGCGGATACTCTTGAATTGGAGCAAGTGGCGAAGCTTCCTCATGAGGTTGGCAGGGAAGAAGCGAGGAGCGAGTTTTTTACCGAGTGTGTGTTTGAGTGTATTCGGTCCGGCGGGTTCTGGTTCTCGGCCGGATCCGTCCGGCGCCACTTTGGACCTGGAGGCTTTACAAGAGGGATATTACTCTCCGCTTTTTTTTTTTCTCTCTCTCTCCCCTTTGGTGTTAAGAGAGCTGCACAAAGAAAAAGAGGCGAGTTGGAGCGTGGGGGGGGGGGGGGGTGTATCTGGGTCACTTGGTGATAATGGGGGTGGGGGGGGTGGGGGAGTAGGGGGGGTGAGGGGTGAGGATGCACTCGTCCCGATGAGGTCACTCGGGGGAATCATTCAAATCCCGCCATGTTGCCACGGCGATGAAAACAGCCCCACTGTGTCTCATTTCCCAAACGCGATATATAGGTCACGCCCGGCGAGGGACGTGCGCGCGTTACGTGCACGTCCCTCGGTGGGGTGTGTGTGTGTGTGTGTGTGTGTGTGTGTGTGTCAGTGTGTGTGTCAGTGTGTGTGTGTGTGTGTGTGTGTGTGCAGAGTTTCTGGCCCCGATGAATAATTAATCCGTGCGGCTGGCCGGGTGAAATAATCGGATGTTTGTGTGTGAGTGTGTGTGAGTGTGAGTGTGAGTGTGTGTGAGTGTGTGTGTGTGTGTGTCTGTGTGTGTGTGTGCGCACCATGTAGGCGCCACGCTGGGCCGTCGGTGGCGCTGGAAGGTGGCGGTGTCGGGGGGGGGGGGGGGGGGGGGGGGGGGGATCGGGTCGGTCTGGGTGCCGGCTGGTCGTCTGAATCGCCAGACAATAGTCGTCCCCCCGCCAGCGCAGGGCGGCCGGGAGCAAGGCGGGAATTTCACCTTTTTCCTTTTCGTATTCAGGTGCACATTTATCACGTGTGTGTGTGTGTGCGTGTGTGTGTTGAAGTGTGTGTGTGTTGACCTGTATGTTGACCTCTGGTGCAGTAGTCATAGCTCACAGCTCTGAGTCTCTTGCCATGCATGTATGTGGCGTGTAACGGAGATCCTGAGGTTGAACTTTATTGTTTCCTTCTGGCCCCACGCCAGGTGTTTCCCACACGTATGTTGTGGTATGTTTAGGTATCTATACGTATAGGTTGTAAAGTGAGCAACACAGGTAGTTCCCGCTCTCTGCATGTGTTCAGAGAGCGGACCAAAGAACAGCACAGAAAGTAAATCCGGTTTTCATTAAAAATTCCCATGGAATCTGAATGAATTAATTAGCTTTAATGACATCACTGATAATAACATCCACATGGTGGGCAATGATCATTCATGGGTGACACTGTGTTTCATTAAGGAATTGTAAGAATCTCACACCCGAAACCGTATCATAAAAAGCCCCAACAATTAAAATATAATCAGAGAAGCTCGGGTCAGATTGCAGTCTTTTAAATATTTGGCAAAGCGCGGCGCAAATTGGTTTTCACGGTGAAGCGATTCGTTCACATGATGTTGTTTTTCCGCTCGTCTGTTCTGCGTCTGCGTCCAACTCTGTAATGTGAAGCAGACTTCTCCGAACGCGATCCCTGACCTGCAGACTGGCAGCGACACGCCGGCTGTTTGAACAGCTTCATCTGAATGACGGCGCTCGTTACCGTGGCGACGGGACCCGCCCCTCCTGAGTGGGACTCATCGATAAAGAATTAGCATAATTTAACATAATCGCATACTGATTTACACGTCAGTCAAGCAGGGGAACACCATGGCACCAACAAACACACACACACACACACACACACACACACACACACACACTCCAGCACGCAACACAAACACACACACACAC